AAAAAAAAAACTCCAGTATTGTTTTTTAACAAAAGACACTGTTTGGTTTTAGATATTAATGTCAGGGGTAATGGTGTATATTTATACATAATTGCCATAAAGCCGTAACAACAGCTACAAACACAAGCTTTTCCCTGGCTTTGTTAATTTAGTCTTTGAGAATGCTTTTAGAACATGCTTCTTAAGTGTCTTGGTCTTCAGCCGCATACTATCAGAGTTTCTGATTGTCTAGCCAACAGTGAGATGAAGTTCAAGGTATTGGATTTGAAGGTTTATTAACAAAAACAATGGAGAAAGATCTTGAAAAAAAGAGACAGATGCAATGCCATAGTCTTCCTCGATGTTTAAAAAAGGAGAAAAATTAATAATAAGCAAGTCCATTTTAATAAATATGTCTTGCCTTTCAACATATGGAGTATCCACTCTGCATGGAGTCATAGAGTGGAAGAGCCACTGTCAAAACAAGACAAGGCAGCATCTTCCGAAGCTCAGAGTGGAACAGCAGAGAAGATTTCACATACACACCCACACAGAACCAACAGTCACTTTAATGATATAACAAGTGCTTTTATGGTGCCATAAACGTTGGGTGTTGGGTAAAAAGCCAATGACTGAATGTATATTTACTCAATGCAGCAGTTAAAGGGAATGAGCTATTATAGATCAGTGTGGTTAGAGCTTGCATATATAAGGTTGGGCCAAAAAGGTAGAATGAGTGATACATATGCAGAGATTAATAGCATATAGGTAAATTAAAAACACACAAACATGGTTCATTGCCCTGGATGCACATTGATGTATGCGAATGTAAAATGAACATTATGTCTGGAAAGATATAAACCAGTTCATGGTCTGGGCTTGGCATGGGGCTGTCGAGGTGATTATAGCTATGCTCAATTTTTTTAATGAAAAGAGCAGATATGACAAAATGCTAAGAATGGTCCATTCAGGGTAGTGGGAACCCAGATGTTTGTTCTACTAACCTCCAATTTTCTATAATATCTAAGTTCCCCACAACAACAACAACAAAAGTTGTGGGACCACAGTTAGTTGACAAGCAGCTTTTCACTTGCCGTGTAGACAGACACTTGGAGACATCCTCTGCTGATTGAGCAGATGCCATGGTCTGTTTGGCTGCCTCTCATCTGGTTCGTACCTGTGGGAAGTGTTCCGGATGTGATCGCACTTAACACAATCTAGACAGCTCCATAGCTTCATGCTCGGGTGCATCGCCCAATGAAAACATGCTGTTCCACCACGGGTTTCATATGGCTCAACTGCAGCTTTTATATGCTAAGACCTATTCTGGGAACCATCCTCTTAGACGAATCTGGACTCTCTTTAGCACAAGATATCTAAACGTTTTGAGATCCACGTTGGCCTTGTAGTCATCTTTCCAGGCTGGTAATCCAAAGCTCTTGGGTCTTGTCCCTGAAACTCTACAGAAAAGTAGGTCTTTGGCATTCACAAAAGTTGTCCCATGCCTATAATGTGTTATTACAGTCCTTGTGTTAAAATCCCATTCTCTGAAACCATCTCCCCTTTAGAATGAGATTTTATCTAAGTCTATTTGCATTTATTCAAAATCAGAGACAGTTCTGAAACCAGACCCTGTTTAAACATAGAAATACGAGCAGTTGCAGTTTAATCAAATGTTGGGGAACTTTAAAACAAAAACAACTTATATTTATCTTCTTGTGTTTCCTTTTTTCCAGATCTGCAATTTCCCTCCGGTTGGCCGTCCTGCATGGGTGCCAAGTTCCACACATGAGTTAATGAATAAGAAGGTCAGATGTTGGGCTTGACTTATTTGCAGACTTGTCACTTTGCTATTCATTGTCATTTTTAAGCATTATGGGAATTATCTTCTAATTTGTGGGGTTGCTGCTGTTGTTATTTAACATAGTTTTGAACTTTGTTCAGAAGAAATAGAAAACATTAAATGGGCTGAAAAATCATAACAGAGAAAAGGAATGCTACAAATGCACTCGGGGAAAGAAGGCTGCTAAGACAGTGAGAAAAAGGAGCCCATTTTTCACTTGTTGTGCTCAATGAAGATCCAACAGTCTTATCCCATGTGTCTTTTCCTTGAGAGCTAAAAGAAAAAAGGCATAAGAATTAGGTAACTCATTGGTTAGAGCAAGTCAGATAGGGTACAAGCACCTGTGCAGTAAAGATCCACTTTCTTTACTGACAAGTCTTCTGAACTCTCCTTTTGGTCCCTGCGTGTTTGGTAATATCAAGCAGCCTGTTTGGATCATTGGCTTATAATTTGGAATCCAGTTTGTGTACATTATTATAACAACACAGATTCAGTTTGCCTCTGCATTTAAGGTTGTGTCAGTGCTTTCCTTTCTGTGTTTATTATTTTTAGCAGTTTAAAAACTACCCATGAAAAAATGGCTTTCTGGCGATAAGGAGACATTCAGGCTTGGCCAGGGTCTGGGGAGTCTATAGAAATGCTCACTGGCTGCAGGAGTTGGGTCTTTGAATGCTGTCTTTGTGCCTCCCCTTGCCCATGGCCTCTGGCCTATTGTCTAGGCGCCTGGGTTGGAGTGGTGCTATCTGATTGTAACCAGTACTAGGGTTACAGCGCTCTGTGCCCAGGCCCTCCCTCGGGGCCCCCAGTCTGGCTGCCTCTGTCTCCCAGCCCTCCCTTGAGGGGACCAGTCACAGCTCTCATATCAGAAAACACTATTTGTAATTTATAGAACATTCAAGGAAAAGGATCACTAGGAATCTTTGAGGCCTATGGTTCTCTTTCTCTCTCTCTCTCTCTCTCTCTCTCTCTCTCGCTTTTCTTTGCTTTTGTTTTTGTTTTGTTTTACAAATAATTCACCCCTTTCCCAAATGAAATTTTACAGTGGACTGCAATGTGTAAAGCAGGGAAAAGGATAGCTGTCCTGCTTGAATTTGAGAAGGGTCCTGCAAGCCCCACTCCCCAGCCTCTTCTTCACGTCCCCTCCAATCAAAGTGACCTCAGAGGTCCTCTGCTCCCATCAGGAAACCTAGGGCACCTCCGAATACTTGCACAGTATTCTTGCAGGACAGCCCCTCGATTTACAGATAAGGAAACTAAAAGTAGATGTCTATAGATGCTCAAAACCTGAGGCATTAGACACAAAAGAGTGCACACTGTATTCATTCATTTTTATATAGTTCTATAAAAGGCATAACTAATCTGTGGTGATAGGAATCAAAATAGTAATTACCTCAGGGAGAAGAGGGGGCTGACTAGCAAGGAGCATGAGGGAATTTTCTGGAATGATGGAAACATTGTATATCTTTCTAGAAGTGTGGGCTACATGCATTTTCCAAAACTCATCTGTGCATTTTACTCTAGTAAATTATACTTCCATTAAAAATTTTTAAAAAGAGAGAAGAGATAAAGCAAAAAATAAATTAGGCATGTAGTGAATGAAATTCCTGTAGCCAGATGTTTGAATGTGATCAACTTCCTTAAAGTTATGAGGGCTATTTATTGAGTGAGGTCTAAGGTCATTATGCAAAGTTTCTGAAGATCAGAGACCCTGCTTTTCTTCCAATTCTTTCTTTGTTCAAGAATCATCAAAACTAGGAAAAAAAAATTGCCAGAGAATTCCAGACAATGGAACCACTGAATACCCTTTGGAATCTTCCAGCCTGTAATGTGGCTAAGGTGTGCTACATGGGAGTTCTGGGAGTAGAAATCCTGAGTACACTTGATTCTACTGACCGTGGAGGCCAAGGATCTTGCCCTCCCACTGTGTAGCAGAGAGAGTGCCAGGAGCCTTAGAGAGGCATCCTTTTCCAGAGGCGCTTTTCTGAGCTTTTAGGGGCTTTGGGAAGCCCCTTAAAGGCCTCTGTTGGGAGGAACGCTGATGTGCAGGAACAATTCGGGTCACTCTCGCAAGATACCGCTTGACATTTATCTGCTTAGATATTGGGCTTCTCTGTCAGATTTCATGTATATAAAGCATTCTACAAGTGAAAAACATGTGATAGACATTCCGCCTATTATATACTCATTCTGGTGTATATTATTTTCTTAATCAGCCAAATGACATGGAATTTTGCTCCTTAACCACGCTGGGCTTTTACCTCCTAAGCTTGTGCAGAAAGACATGGTCCAGGTCAGCACTGTTCTGCAGGGTCACACTGATCTGGACTCATTCTAAGAGTTCTGGATAGTCTTGGCTTCAACAACCCCTTCCCCATAAGAAAGGTCCCTCTCGAGCTGCTTTCCAGAATTTTGATACAATCAAGGATATTGTAAATAAGAAAGATCAAAATAAGCCCGGGGCCCTCTGGAAGTGCTGAGCATGTAAGTGATCGCTGTTGGTTTTCCACCCAATACCGTACTGTGATCATTGCCTAGAGAAACGAGATGCCATAGCGAGACCCCTTCCTACAGAGGTCCCAGAAGATGCCATTCTTTAAGTTGGGATTGCATCTTGTTCAATAATCTCTGTTTCACAGATACAAACCTCCTTTTTGTCATGCATTAGTTTGATATACACTATTAATAATACCCATCAAATTCTTCATAATTTTTTAATCCTTTACTCCTACTCATCTGCATGCTTTTTTAATGACCTATAAAACGTAAGATTCTTTCTCACATGTCTTAGCATAGTGGAACTTCTGATGAATGGGGATGAAAGACAGGCTGCTGGTGATACCTGTAAAACAGGCTACTTGTGGACTCAGTCTTTCTCCTTTCAGCAGATATCAACTACCATCAAATGACTGGCCTTGTATCTGTATCTTGCAGTAGGGCATTTTGAGCCTCTAAAAAGCACTTTCCTCACCCTGAGATACTTTGAAACATTATTCAAATGTTTCTATTTGTGCGTGTCAGGCCATAAAGTGGAAGGTAATTATTGTGGTTGAATTCCAGCTAAGGACATAGACCAGGGCAGATTCAACCCTGGGACCAACTCTGCCTTTTAGAGCCTGATGAAAAGATGGGGCAGGAAGAGCAAGAAAAATATTTTTGAAAAGGAAATGCTGACAGTGTTGGGAAATGGCAAGAAAGGGTCATGTAGAGCCCAAGAAGGAAGGATTTGAAGATGCTCACATGTTCCAGCCTTTGAGGGTGTATTATCTTTCTTCAGAAAAGACAAACTAGCTCACTTGAGTGATTTCCCAACAAAGGGCCAAAGCCTATTTCACTCACAACATGGATCCACATTAACACAAATTTAGTTCCCTAATGAAGCTGTGGTAAAACTGAATCATCTGTAAAAAAGAACATTTTAAATAACCAGGACATTTTTTAACCCACACAAACTGTGCTTTGCGTGCAAATGCACACAAATTTCCTAATCAAACCAAATTTAATTTAGCAAGAGATTTTTTTCTCCAACCAGTTTAGTTTAATGTGCATGAGAGCAGAAATGGAATTACCCAATGTAAGAGTTTGAGAAGAATTTGCTTTTCTGAAATTCCATTTGAAAGGACCATTTCGAGTCATTAAGAGTCAACTTAACCAAATGGAAAATACCAAGACATAAATTGTATGTCTTCTCCATTCCAGTGACTTTGGGCAAGTGATCTTCGTGGAGCCAACATTCTTGAAGCTTCTTTCTTTGCTTGCTTGCTTTTTCTTTCTTTCCTTCTTCCTTCCTTGGTCAAGTGGATAATGCAACACGTGTATAGTCAGATTTCAATTATTCATGAGAATGGAAAGGAGAATACAATGTCCATAATTGAAGTCCAATCTATTGACGTTTTCTTCCCATTGACCATTTTTTGAGCAGCAACCTGAAACTTTTCAACCACCAAACTGCTTGTCAGAGCTGTTCACAAGTGAGAAAATATCCCGGTTTGAGTTTTATCTTCTTTTCTTCCCCCCAACTGTTTTCTCTATTGGTGCTATTGCGCTATTAACCACTAAAAAGCAGGCTGCAAGAAAAATTGCAAACACTTTAATGTGCATATTATTTTTATTCTTGGTTTCCAGACAAGGACAGTGGGGATAAAATGGTTAGGAGCAATGCCTTGTCACAGGGGAAGGGCTGGGCTTTCGCTCAGATCTATCTGCAAGCCCCTGTTCTTTGGAAGAGAAACAATGGATCAAAACCAAAACTTATCAACATATTACATTGGCATAATTGGTGAAATAGCTAAATTTGTGATAAGAATTAACTACTATTTTGGGCCTGCCCGAAAAACCATAAATAACCCAGAAAACCATAAATAACAGTAACTCAAACACACAAAGGTTTGTTTTTCTCTCCAGAGCAGGGAGTGTGGTTCCACAATCATCAAGAACTCGGTACCTTCTATCTTTCTGCATTGCTATTCTTAGCATATGACTATCCTCAAGGTTTCCTCTTGGTTCAAGATGACTGCTAGGGTTCAAGCCTTCACCTGTAAATTCCAGACAACAGGAAAGATGAAGGAGGGGAAGTAAAAGGCACCCTTACCTGCTGTGTTTGTCCTCTTTAGGAGGCCTTACCAAAAGGCCCAGCCAACAACTTCTACCTGCAATTTCATCTTCTATCTCCTAGTTGCAAAGCAAGCTAGAAAATGTAGCTGGGTACCTTGCCACTCAGAATGAAAGTGGGGCTTGGTTATTAGTAATATTGTGGAGGCATCTAGCAGACTTGCTCACAATTAGGCAGCTCTTGGAGGCCCTTCAGTTATGGAGAGGAATGGTCAGCAGGTGCCATAGAGAAACTGATCTTGTAGCCAAGTGCATGAGGGATAAAAGGGAAGGAATGAAAGGTAGTTTTGAGGACTTGGCTTGTGGGGACAAATTTTAGTGTGGTGGCATCAGGGACAGGAGATAGATGTATGTGAT